CTCAAATACCGCTGATTGGTTGCTTAAACTCTTGCTTACTCTACCCCCTTTATATTATCGTACACGCCTGATGATGAATTAATCGAAAACGTTCGTTCGTCTATGAACTTGTCCAGCTCTGGACGAAGTTGGGCTGGACGCAGGCACGACAATTTAAACAGATGGACAAAAAAACAGAGGCTGATCTGCCTGTTTCTAGAAGGCTGGTTGATTTTTGTGTGAAGTTAAGGGGCGAGGGACCAACGGTGTCGTCAAAAGAAAGAAGGGGCTGATCGCCTGGTTAACAAGTGGACTCTAGTCAACCCCCCGGCCGGTTAGATGCAACCTGGCCGGGGGGACAATGACGTGCAAGCCTCAGACCATCTATAATCCAATCCAGCCCTTTTTCTCCCCAACGTTTGCCCCCTTTGCGTTCGACGAAACAAGCATCCTCATTTGCGATGAAACTACTCACTTGATGACTCGAATATTGAAGTACGAAGGGGTACCCCCAAAAAACAATAATCATTTATTTACATTTATTTATTTACATTCTGAACTAACACTATGGAGTACCTGCCGCAATTTTTTCTTGACCTCGGCTACCTTCCGAAAACGTTTTTCCTTTGTGGTTTGTTTCATTCTTGGGAATGGAACAGAGTCCCTGGGGGCTAGGGCGGGTGATTAAGACGACTGAGATACCGCTGTCATGCCGTTTTTAGTCAAAAACGGATTAATTTAGATCGCTGTGTGGACAGGCGTGTTGGCATGCTGAAACAGCCAGTCCACCCGATCGCTGCAATTCATATCGTTTTTTGTTCCTGCCTCGCACAATCGCTTCAGAACATGCAGCTAGTAATGTGGGTTCACTGTTGTTGGGACGGCCCGGACGCGAGTTATCACTCGGGCAATCCTGAGGGTACCAGAACAAAGGGACCTTACTGGCGACCGGTTCATGCAGTTACAAGCGACCTTCAAAGGACGAGCATTAGGCCAGGACAAAGGAAGCATGCGCGAGTGAGACTGCCCCGTGGTCGGGTTGCTGCTATCGGGAGGTCACGCTGAGGACACATGCACATGTGCGCGTAAGCAAGCGTGCGCACGGCCACTCATGGAGAGGCAATGGGGAGCAATGACTACTGCCCATTAAATATACTGCCACCGCTGAAGGTGGCACTCTGCTGCTGGAGACGTGCTACCGACGACCCGAGATTCTGCTGCTAGGGACGTGGGACACGGCTACTAGAGACACGGAACGCTGTTGGCCGAAACGACGACAGAAGACAAGCTGCTGACGGACACAGAAAACAAGCTGCTGGACACACAGGAAACAGAGCTGATGTACTAGTGGAACTGACAGTAAAGTACTATCTGCTATCCTGTTCTGCCTTCTCTTCCTAACACGTAACTGCGGGACATAACCAGTGCTGACACAGGAACACACAAGGTTATAACAACTGTGGTGTCATGAGGAACCAGTTCAACGTGGACGAGTCATTTGAGGTCGTAAGGACAAGCCATCCCGGATATCAAATTTCATTTCCGGAGTTGAGGACTGACCCAAACAGGGTTCAGCTTCAAGTACAATTTAGCTATTTCTGAACCGCCCAAACCACTTATAAATACTTGCTTGGCTGAGAGAGCTATCTTGCACTAAGCTTCCCGAAGCATTCAAACGATTTCTGTTTTCAACAGGAAACAGGATGTTGGCGTGTTGCTACTCTAATTGTTTCTTCATTAAATCGCCGAGAGAATCCGAGGGTTGGGAAGGGCTTTCATAAAACAATCACTCTGTCCACTGAGATGGTTGCTGGTGAACGCTAACTGACCAACTGAGCCAGCAGAGTATCCAGTAAACCCACCTAGCGCTACCAACCCGCATGCCTACGATGAATATTTAAATATTGTTGGCAACCTCCCCCCATATGCTGACTGGTAGAGGCGGAAAGGAGAATGGCAAGAATCAACCGAAAAGAAGGAGCCTCAATCGTTAAAACAATAATGTTTCATGCACAAAGACAATAAGAGACAACGGTTGCAGACACTAGGGGATTGTACCCGCTAAGACGTAGTTGCTGAGAGACGAAATGCCTACTAAACTGAAGTCTCTTAGTTTCCCACAAAGTTTGTTGCCAGGATAGTTACGGCTTGTTCACCCGTGTCCAAGCCGTTAATGCCC